CCAGCAGGATGGTCAGGGGCCGGAGCACCTGCCTGGCAGGAGAGGCTGAGGGAACGGGGCTGGTTCAGCCTGGAGAAGGGAAGACTGTGAGGAGACCAACAGCAGCCAGCCAGCACCCACCAGGAAGTTTTCAGGCTTTTCACAGCATGAGACAACAGGTAGGAGCCAAAAAGAGAGGGTTACGCTTTTTTGCTGTGGGAGCAGCTGAGCATCGAAAGAGGTTGCCCAGTCTGCACCCTTGGAGGTTTTCAAGACCACACTGGAGAAACATGGTTCAGAGTAACACAGTCTGACTTCACAGCAGTAGGGTGGGCTGGCGAGCTCCCAGCATCTCTTGTAACAGGAATGATCCTGTGACGCAGAATGTAAGGACGGCAGCAGGCAGCTGAACAGCAGCAGCACCTGCTACCCAAATCGAGGAAGCGGTCCCTTACTGGAGAGCTGCCATGCCCTCGTTCCAGCCTCTGCAGGAGGCACACAAACATTTTTGTTTATTTGTTTAGAAAACACCACTGTTCTCAGGGAATTCTGTCACTCAACAAGCAATGACGTGACAGGCTCCAGAAGCACAAAGAAGATGACTCTGAGAGAAAGTTTTTTGTGAGAAGTGAACGGGACCTGGAAAGCCCAGAAGAGGACAGGAGGAGAGCAAGAGGAGTGTTACGAGTTTAGAACTGAACCATGTTTCTCAGGAAGAAACAGTCCCATGTGTCACACTCTCCTTCAGCTGGCACAGACACAGGTACCCGCACAGAGAAGAGCTGTTCTGCATTAACGTACCTCGCAGGAAGTTACTAAAAAGTCAAGACGCTGTAGCAGCTAATTCCTTAAGTTGTTTATTTATCGTTGAAGAAACACACAGCAGCAAGTTCTGTGTTGGCTTCGGTATGACCAGATAGTTAATAGTTGTTACCGCACCCCAAAATTGAAGTCAACACAGCCATTACTACAAATCACTTTTTTGGAAAGGGAAAGAATTGACCCTGAAGACAAAGAACCGGGGGGAAAAGTCAACAATTTCTCCAAAACCACACATTTTAAATATGACAATATTTATAAATCCTTGAAAGGCATGAATTATCCAGTAATGGAAAAAGCAGCTGTGATATTTGCAACAGAAAATACAGAGCCATGTGCTTACCAAAACACTTAAATCGTAAAAGCTTGAAGTTCTGTGGTTGTACACTGCAGCAGTATACATTACTGGAACAATGACTGCAAAATGGCCTCATAGGCGTTACGTGTTCAAGTAAATCTACCGAAAATATCCCAGTGTAGCTAATGCTCATAATGCTTACTGTATTTAATTCCAATTTAAACAATTTACTGAATTTAGACAGTGATAAAATATATCTCTCGGAAACTGCCTGCCCTCAAAGATACTTATGTAAAAGAGGGCTTTTATATTTTTTTCTAGTTTTTCAGCTGATTATGGAAATTGATTTATCTCTGCTTTTTCAGTAATTCCACTGTGTGAACAGAGGTGTTTTCAAATGCATGTTCTGTGACGATAATACCCCATTCCAAATTAAGAAGGACTAAAAATAAAAAGGTCAGCCTGTTTCGGTGCGAGACAGAAGCATTTCTCAAGACAGCTGTTGGGCTTGCTTCTTTTTATTTTAGCAACAAATGACCCATGAAATAAGCATCATTTGAAATTTCAAAAACTGGCATTCAATTTCCAACCTTCTGCTGTGAGTTTTGTGCATGATCAATCTATACGAGTAAGTAATTCAAGCTCATGCTTTCATGTTACCTCAAAACATTTGTTAAAGAATTCCAATTCAGAATGTTTATAAGCACAAATATAATCCGTGGATTCGATCAAATCAAAGCTAAAACATTGGTTAAACTGTGATTTTCACTTAACGTCGTACAGTGGTCCACCCCTCTTCATCTGTCTCATTCTTAGTACGGCGAAGGGGCTCACGCTCCTTTTCCGTTTTCCAGGAGCCCTTCTCCTTCTCCCCATCTCTTTCTCGATCTTTCGATGCTGGTGGGGGAGCAGAAGCTGGAGGAGCAGCAGGAGCAGGAGCTGAGCGCCGAACTGCTTCACGTTCTTCTCCACGCTCTTCATTCCTATCATCAGCACGCCGCCATGAGCTTGCTACAAATACAGAAAGACATTAAAACCACCTTTGTCATGCTCCACCAGCAGCCTGCAAGGGTTTAAACAAATCTGCCCAGCACCAACAGCCTGATTTACTGACTCTCCGTCTCGCCAAGAGGCAGTACGATGCTGACAGCCAAACGCAGAGTTTAATTTTACAGTGAAGTAACGGGCAGGAACTACTCAAGCCTCTCTTCAGGTTCAGGATTGTTGTGAGCCACCCAAGGGTCATCTTTAAAACACAATGGCTGTAAGAAGAATGTTCTATCGATGTACACATTTTTATGATATAAAAATATATTCTCATATTATTATCAGAATTAAAAGCACAAAAGCATCTCCTTAGAAATGACTGAACCCTGAAAAGAGAGAAATCCTAACTTAAAAGCACTTGGTTTACGTTTTCGTTGTCTCAGAAGACAGCAAATTACTGTTCAGCCTACTGCAATCAGAGATACAAATGGCACCGGATGACATGACTCCACTGGTAGGAGCATTCACCACCCTTTGCCGGACGAAGAACTGCTCATTTCCACCACAAGGATGTCAAGAACCCCACCCCAGGCTGTCCTCGAGAGCACCCGCCTGGCAGCGCCCGCCCACGTGAGAAGGCTGAACATGTTGCTGCCAGAATTGGAAAGCGTGGTATCCCAGGCTAAATGCATTTGCTGTTACTGTATTTTTAGAACACAGCAAAGGATTAATAAATGTACATAATTAAATCATGTTAATGTATATAATTAAAATAGGTTATCCATCAAGATCGATACCATTAATAGTGTGTAACCCACAAGGCCTTGTTTGGAAGTATTTCTCTCACATTTTAATGGTTTTAAGAAACAAGCCAGAAATTACTTTCTGGGATGCCTAGCTTGATAATTTCAGTACAAGAATTTCATTTCACCCTGAACATAAGTCTACTATGAAAACTGCATGCTTCAAATGTTATCCTTCTACTGCAGATGTGAAATGCTACCACGACAGAAAAGGGTACAACTAAAAAGAGTTAAGATTCAAGGAAAAATTCTCAATTACTCTAAAGCTTCTTTCTGTTACTTTGCTTATGCACAGGGAGTTTAAGTGGCTGAAAATACAGCTTACTCCCATTTTACCACATCCTTGCATTGCCAGAGCAACACGGAGGCCCTATGCTGAATGCAAGCCTTTAGGAATGCCAAAACAAACATACGTTCTTCACGGTCAGATCTGAGCGGCGGTCCTCTTCTGGGGGGTGGATCTCTGTCATCAGCACGTCGATCCCTCAGGTCGCGACCACCTCTGTCCCACTCCTCACGACGACCCGAATCTCTCCAGCTGGAAGTTTCCTCGGCTGGCCCTCTTCTCCAGCCAGCATCATCCCTTTTGCCATTCAAAACATAAAATAAGACTAAATGTTAAGGTTTTACCTCTCCTATGGAAACAAGCAATAATAATCACAACACAGGTATTTTCAGGCCCAGCGGGCCTCTACTTAACATACTGACATACTTCCAAAACCTTTTCTGTTCTTCTGGAGCCTAAAATGAAATCTTCTTTTTAACAGGTTAAAAAAAAATAAAAGCAGTAAAGCATTTTGTGATTCCTTCTGTAAACAGTTACCCTCATCTTAAAAATAACCAACCAAAAAGCCCCCAAAATGCCACTGTCCATTTACTGCCTTCAAGGGCTTCATTTCATACACACCAACCACTCTTGCTTTCACTAGGTGACGTCACATAATTTCTTCATCAGTGGGGCACCCTTTTTTTCTTCCCCCTCTTTAAACAGAAACATTCTAGAAGTATTTAAACAAGAGAAGTCAAACCTGGGACGCCTGAAACGATCATCTCGATCAAAATCTCTCTCTCTGTCAAATTCACGGTCTTTCTCATTTTCATCACGATCTTTGTCTCTATCCCATTCGCGGTCTCCTGGAGGTCTGGACTCTCGGGGAGGCCCCCAGCTATCCTCACGAGCCTTTTCTCGTTCTCTCCATCCCCCTGTAAGCAAGAAACACAGTCAAAGGAATTTGTGCCTGACCTCTGATCTCTCTGGAGACAAAGAATCCTTTACTTCCCTCACAGAAACTCGTTCTTCTAGTTTTGATCCCTGCGGATCCAACTCAAGATGCTTGTAAAAAGTGTGCACGTTGAGCGGGAGCCACAGACAAAACACTCTAGAAACTGCTTAATACAAAAATAAGAATATATACCAGACAGACCTCAGAGATCGGACTGCCTGCCTCTAACAGTTTAGCAGATCTGATTATACCCTGCAGCTTTCGGTCAGAAACCACAAACTCCTCAAAGTTTTATGCAAAACAAGTGCAGGAAGAAGTAAAGGGGGTAGCTCTGACAGCAGATTCCTTTGTGAACATCTGCAAGTGAGGAGAATTTAGGCAAGCAAATTTTTATGAATGTACCGCTTCTTAAATTGCTACTTTAAAATACAACTACCGTTTATAATGCATCCTGCAATATCATGCAGTTATTTATGAATGGGAGTCCTTTATTCTGCAGCCTGCTTTTTCTTTAAATAAGCAAAATGGGAAAGCTTATTGGAGTGCAAATATGGAGATTTATGATGACTTTGTTGCACGTTTGGATTACAGAATTATTGCCTGCTTTATAAAGATGACGTGGCACACAAACCTGAATAAAAAGAACCAGGAAATCAAAATCGTATCTAGCATTTAAGCATCATCAACAGTTCCGAATAGAATCAGAAACAGTTGTACCAGTCACCACCAGCAAGACTTCAGAGTAGAAATAAACTATACAAGAACAGGATAGTTCAGACTGTACGGGACCTCAGAAGGTCATCCAGTCCCAACTCCTGCTCCAAGCGGGATTTTCAAGAAACGTAGACAGAAAAGCCAAAAAGGAATGGTAAAACCAGGAACATCTTTGTACGTGTAAAAAAAGCTTATGGAAACCAGACCCACTCGAACGATGCAGCAAAATCCTCCCGAGGAGGAGGCTCCTGTCAGCCGCGCGGAGGGGGCAGGGCCAGGGCCCAGGGTGCTCTAACCTCCTGAGAATGTTTCTCTCCCATCACAGCATCCAAGCTGTCTGGTTTGGAATTTGCACATCCGTAAATTACCAGCATTACTATGTGACCTTTAGGTATCTTCAAGACAAGCACATTATTATAATTTTTTTTTTAATTTAACCAAATTAAAAGGTTTAATTATACTGAGTAAAGGAGTGTCCACATTAACCAAATTAATCCAAACGTTTTCATAGCCGATTCTCCCATCTCTGGCACCAAGTACATTACACCCATTATCTACTGGGTTAGCACACGCTTTGGAGGGAAGATTATTATATTTTACCTGGTTTGCCAAATGGTCTCCAAGGACCTGGCCTCGAGTCATCGCTGCCACGCCACGGACCCCTGTCATCATCTCGTCTGGAGAGCCTGTCATCATCTGCGCTACGCCATGGTCCCCTGTCATCATCACGCCTTGACATCCTGTCGTCATCCATCCCGCGCCTGGGACCCCTGTCGTCATCCATCCCCCGCCTGGGACCCCTGTCGTCATCCATCCCCCGCCTGGGACCCCTGTCGTCATCTACCATCAAGGCCCCGTCTTGGTGGCCGGTCGTCATCCAAAGCACGTCTTGGTGGCCGGTCGTCATCCAAAGCACGTCTTGGTGGCCGGTCGTCATCCATTCCACGCCTGGGACCCCTGTCGTCCTCTGCAGCCCGCCAACTCGCTCTATCATCATCTAAACCACGTCTGGGCGGCCTGTCATCATCCAATCCACGTCTGGGCGGCCTGTCATCATCCCCTTCACGCCTAGGTGGCCTGTCCTCATCTCCTTCATGCCTAGGTGGCCTGTCCTCCGTTGACTCCACAGAAGGACGTTCCTTTTCTTCTGCAGCACCACGTCGCGGAAGATCATCCCCTCGTCGCGGAAGATCATCCCCTCGTCGCGGAAGATCATCCCCTCGTCGCGGAAGATCATCCCCTCGTCGGAAAGGTCTTTCATCTTCTCTTGCTTCTCCTCGACGCCAATCTCTATAAAACCACAGGGAATGAACAGACAGTAGAAGCTGACATCCAGGGAAGCTTTACATATTGGATTGACAGTACTGAACCCCTCAAGGACATTTCTGAATGTACCCACTTGATGTGTGGTTGCAAACACACGTACAGAGCTTGCAGTTTTCAAACGCGCATGTCCTAACTGCTTTCATTCCTATGGGAAAGCGGTACGTCACCATCCCTACAGCTTCAGTGAAGACCGAAACTAGAGTTTGAAGGGGATAGCTATAGTCCCTTGGTGGTTATCTGCCGCAACACAACAGAGAAGACGCCTGGCTTCTACACCAAGCCTCATCTGACAAACTCGAGCTAAGCCTCAAAGAACCAGTATTTAAAACCCCACAACCATCAGGTAAGTATCCCCCTTCTTCACGCACATGCCAAGCCTACAGTCCAATCCCTGTTTTCATAAGCTTTGGCACGGTTCCAGCCCCACAGACTGGCAATACTTTCACTGACAAGCATCCACAACTAGATACGGCAGGACAACATGGTAAACCCACGACTCAATCCAGCGCTACTCCCCGGGGGCAAGCAGGGTGCACCAAGCTCTGGCAGGCTACCAGCGCCTTCAGGGACTCTCCTTGCTAGGGCGTTATGTGGGAAGTAAAGAACTGGTGAGAATTTTCCCTGGGCTATTGAGTCGTCAGTCCATCTTTGAAACAGATTTAGATTTGCAACACTGAAAAGATCAGACACTACTGTAGAACTGTTAGGGCCTCCACTCTAGTCACTTCTCTGGACACACCACTTCGTTTAATGGCTACAGGATGTTCCACATATTTTTAGACCATAAACCTTTGCTTTTTCATCAGATTGATTTCTTTATTTTAGGAAGTTAACCTTCCTAAGCTAGTTCCTCAGCAATAAAAAGAAACAAGTAGTAGTACATCATAGAGATGTACTGATACCTGCTTCTCAGCAAGAGAAGAGTAACTGCACTGGAGCTGAATCTCACAGGCTAAAAAAAACCCAACAGAAACCCCCCAAAAAACCCAAAACAACAAACCAAACAAAAAAACTCCCGTAGGTCTAGAAATATACTATGCTACTGAAATGTAAACAAAAGAACAGCAATGACTTGCTACAAAACAACAGATGTAGGACTCCGAGAGGTGAGAACAGAGAAGCAACAGTTTGTGACAACTCTGCATCTCAAGAATTTCAAGGAATTGTGAGCGGCCTGTTTCCTAGTTTTGGAATAATAAGGGAGAATGCAATTACCATTGAGCTGTGAGATAAAAACAAGACAGGGAGATTGTTAACTTCCATTTAGACTCAAAGGGGATCATCTTCTCCTTTGAAAAATCTGATTATTTGAATGTAAGAGACATATAGAGAAATGGTCATAAGGTTTATCAAGTGAACTAGGATTTCATTCATTCACATTTAGGTACTGGTTCAGGGGTTTAGGATTTTTAAATCTATTTGTAATCTATTACTTTTAAACTACTAGTACTCCTCTAATTTTTAAACTATTACTTGCAGGTGAAATTATGCCTCTTGTTTTAACTTTTCTTTTTCCTTGTTTGACAACTTCAGTGTTCCTATTTCAGCTTTTTCCCTTTCCCTCACAGAAATCCTAACTCTCACTTTAAACATTTACTGAAATCTAGAGTTTAACAGCATCCGATAAATGACTAAGGACAGAGGGATACACGAATATTAAGAATATTATCAACTGGCAATCACTGGTAGTAACGCAATCCAGTCTCCATCATATAACCCATTTTTCAATGACCTCTAAAAACCCTACACACAGATCTACGAGAGCTGAAAGCATGCAGACAGCTTTACCAAACAAAGCAGAAATTTGCTAGCAAAGTTCACACTGTAGTGTCTACCACTGTTACACATTTATAATCATTTTTGCTCATCTGTTAACTCAGGCACAAACAGCAAAGACAAGAAATAGCGGCCAACTCCCCTTTTCTACACATTTTGGCTTTTTAGTATTTCTTGACCATAAGCACAGAAGCATTTGTTGATCCTTTGGGATAGCACTCTGTGGCAGTAGCAACTGTAATGAGCTGTGCTAAGTATGACAGCCTGCAGCGCTGCCCCGCCACTTTCAGTGAACACCGGGTCTGTATTAGTTGTCATTTCATTGTTTAAACGAGCAAGCCTCTAGCTCCTGACAGCACTTTATGGATTTTCTGTGATCTAGAAAAAGAACAAGAGGTATCACCATAAAATGACTTTTTCTAACAAACCAGCTGGCTTTTAATTTAACTCCTACATAGCACTTTCATGTTAATCTCTTTTCCTTGCAACTGCAATTTTTGCAGTGGTTTTTTTTAATATCAGGATTAACTTTCTTCTCTTCCTCATAAAATTTTATTACATCTACCACAGAGAGATTAGTTTTATTTTCCTCCTTTGTTTCTTACGATAACTACCTTTCTCGCACAGTGAAGGAACAAAGCAAATACTCGCAGTCTAGTTATAACGCATAATAAATCCACTAGCTGTGTAAGCGACAGACAGCCCTTGCTGGACTCTTCAGCCTTTCTGTAATCTGTTTTTTCTTGTAACTGGAACCATGGTACGGAAAAGACTGAGAACACTGGAACACGCTGATCACCTTGAATCCAGCTCTCTGGGGACTGCTGCACAGCACAATCGGTTGCTCCATGACTGTAAGGACCCGTGTATCAATACAGCGTGTACGCCAGGACTGTGCCATTTCCACGAGAAATTGTCTGAGAGACAAATTTTACAGCTTCTCTCCTTGTACTAGCATCCATAAAGACTTTTTAATGCACATATCCAATAGCTGTACTTACAGCTAGATACACGCTGCAAATTAAATCTGATGCTCTGCCCTCTATGTTACTGCCTTTATCACGCAATTCAGAAATACATTTTGGAATTACTTTACTCACTCATAGCTAGGTTTGCACTCTTGTCTTTGCATCCAACACATCTCCCCTTCAGGGTTGAAATCCAGCTGAAGGTAGACTAGGGGCTACTAAAGAATGCAGAATTACACCTTTCTTCTGCAATTATGTCTGAGCACCATCACTTTTACTTTGTTATTTCCTAAGGTCAGCAAAAAGAAAATAACTGAGAAGCATTGTTTTACTTAAAATTCCATAGAGATATTGTCTGCTGTAAGTATTTCCTTTCAGTATTCCTCAGTATATTCCTTTTACTAAAAGAGAGAAGGAAAGTTCTACCAAATATGCCACATAATAATCCAAAATATGCCTAATTTTAACTTCTCAGCAGTCACTCAACTCAATTTCGACAAAAGCCGAATGAGAAATGACTACGACAACACATACTCAGAAAATGAGTACTTACTCATTGAAAATGAGTATGGGTCACCTGTATCATTTTCTATGTGAAAAAAAAGTACCACACTGCAGCATATAAACAGATGCATTAAACACTTCTGCAATATGTGAATAGTTAAAGGCTTCACCCAGGAGTTTCGTTCAATTTTTGATTTTGCAACTGACGAGAAAGCAGATCCCTACCAAGAATGGCAACACAGCTTTCAAGGAAAGACTGAAAGACTGTTTTGTTCATCGAGAGATCATACTCTTCCAACATGTTGGAAGAAATTACTAGAGAGAAAAAGAGTAAATTCATTTGCTTCCACTGGAGTCAGAGTAGGCCATAATGGATTTAAATTGCTGCAGTGGAAATTAAGGTTAGACATTTATAAAAATCTATCTACCTGGAAGGCTAATCGAGCAGTAAAACACACTGCCAACTGGAACAAGCAGTGGTATCTCCATCAGCACAGGCTTTTAAGGAATGCGTGGGTTTTTTGGTTTTGTTTCTTTTTAAAAAGTGCAAAGAACCTTTGAACATTCTTCCTTCAGAAATCCTTCCTTCTCTGTTCAATACAGTCTTTCAGAACTTTGTTTTAGTTTACACCCCGTATTTTCTGCTCTGTGACTCACTCTGGGACTTGAACAGTTTAAGACTCTGAATCTTGACTTTACCATTCTTATGTATTACTGTCAGTTTTCTAAATGAAAAAATTTTAAACAGTTTGATCATCCAGGAAACCCTGCATTTGCTTGTCATCCTTCCCCATTCTGTATTTATACAGCTGACACCAATGTTGGAGTGGGACAGAAATTTTTGATTTAAAAAAGAAACCAAGCAAGCATGCTGTCTATCATATGCAGGCCTCTGCTAGCTTTCACATATCTAAGCTAAATAAAACAGGAATGTTATCTGAATGCAGTTCCAAGATAAAACCTCTATCTCATTTTGAGATCCTTATAAAACAATTTTAAATAGAAGGTAACCTTCAGAGATGTTAAGACATGAGACATTATTCAGTTAGTGCGGCTTTAGCAGTAACAACAAACAGGAAGCCTACATATTTTGAGCCCAATAAACTGGTACTTGGTAACCCAATAATTACCTTTCCAGTGGTGCTCGCCGCCATTCAGATTCTGCCTCACCACCTCTTCTCCAGGAGCTTTCAGACTCCCTATCTCCCCACCGAGACTCCTGTATGTCAAAAGAAATTAGGAACATTCTCTCCAAATACTTTAAAAATTAAATTTTTCAACATACAATTGACATACATACACTCCTTTCAGAGTATACTCTGCCATTAAAAACTCGCTTGTTACACCGTAGAGAATACTGAACTATCATGAGTATGAATAACTTAAGTACGGTCTTAACTGACTAATATTACTGTTTCTGTGACAGTGTAAAAACCAATATGGTTCCCTTTGTGCCATATACTTTACTAGTAGGGTAGGATATATGCAAATACACTAAAAAAAATCATGAACAAGTGTATGAACAATAGCTACAGTGAGCCATAGCTACCACCTGTTAACACAAAAGAGAGGTCCTAACAGATTCACTTTCCCGCTGCTTAACAACAGTAGGCACGAATTCAAAGAATTACTTGCTTTTGTGCTTTCTAGTCAGATCAGAAAACGTAACTGAACAAACTGAAAGGAGCAGAGACCATTTTGCTCCGAGTACCTCAATGCACAGAACAGGTAAGGTAATTGTGGTTCACTCACGTTGCTTAAATGCAGGGCAGAGCAATAATCAATTTGTTTTGTTTTGTTTTTTAATAAAGGTAAAATGCCTCTCCCCATTGCTGGACAAAGACAAACCATTTAAACTATTTCTAACACATTAGACGCGTTAGAACACACTTAATTCCACCACAAGAAGCAAATTAGGTAAACCATATAAAATACCTGATTTCCCATAATCACACGACCTCTATATAAGAGGGTATTTTGGTTTTAAACTGCTCTTTGAAAAGTGTTTTTACTTGTCAAAGTCTATGCTTCAATATGGGGAAATACAGAGGTTGCACAAGACCTTGCATATCCACTGCGCCATGACTGTCTGCTTAACTGCTTTTGAAATGACCCCCACAAAGGGTGAGCACAGAAAGAATCCCAAAACTGCAGATGGTGTTTTTCAAGCGGTCCAGGTATCGCTCTCAGAACCTGAGCCAGCTTTTCCATATGATCAAGTGCCCATGGCTAGTGGTACTTCTAATGTGAAAAACACCCATGACAATTATTTACCCGATAGACTATCAGAACAATTTATCCAAGCTCTGATCACTTATCTTCATAGTGGTACTCAATGAAGTATGCATTAAACAAAGACAGCGGCTATGGTGAATGAAATTTAAAAACAGTTCTCTTACCAATAAGTTCTGAAAAAGTGGGAGAGTAGAAGGTTTGGGGTACTCAGTCACATTTTTTGAAATGATTAAACATTTATTTGGAAATTTGTTTCCTGTTGGACTGGGATAACGATTTTCCCCAATACCTGTATTTGTAAATGGGAAGCTGCACACATCTCTCGTTTTTATGTTTTATGTTACTGTGTATTTCCTATAAAACATAAAACTATGCTTCTATGTTTAGTCTGGGATTTTTCTTCAATATCTACTTCGATTCCTGACTTTGGCATGAGTCACTACACTTGCTTCCAATACAGCTTTCCTCCTCTTGTGTTAACGAAAATTGTATTTGATATTCTTTTAGTCATTATTCGTTTAGTTTTCAAACAGCTTGGGGATCTTAGCAGTTTCTTTGTTTTACTTTATTACCAAACTAGAGATTCCAGATCCTGATAGTGAGCTGAAAAGCCCCTTACACCGCAACTTAAAAAAAACATGTAACTTACAGTTTTTCCATGCTACCATCTTCTCCCAAATAATCTACAGAAGGAGCAGTCAAAAAGAAAACAAACCCGCAGATATTACCTACCTTTCTCGAAAATGGGTCATCCAGACCTCTCCTTTCTTCTTCTCGACGACGCTCTTTCTCCATTTCTCTTTGAAGCTTTTTCTTCTCCAGTTCTTCTAGTTTTTTGACACGCTCCTGGTATTCACGCTGCTCCTGCTCACGTTTCTCACGCTCAATGCGTTCTTTTTCCTCACGCTCTGCAGAGGTGGAAACATAAACAGAACGTATTACCCACACAAATTCCATTAGTTTGCTGTATCCACAAAAGCGTTACAAAGTACAGCCTCTCCTCTTTGACTCCTTATCAGAAAATAAAAATTAAAAAAAGTCCAAGCATTTCACAGGATGCATTTTAACTATCCACAGAGCCTGTTTTCTGGAAGCATCCTAACTCGAAAGCAATAGGAAAAGGAACCCTGATATATCCATTAATGTGACATCTTGAACAACAGCTAGCAAGAAAGGAAAGATAATGTTCCAATACCCGTACGTTAATTTGATGTACTGACCACAGATGTGCCAGTTAAAATATCAGTAACAACCTCAAGCATGGTAGAGGATCCCTTTTCTAGAAAAGGTCAAACAAAAAACATAGCTAGCAGTGTCAGAAATTTGATATTCAGGACTGCTTGTTTTTTTGCTATTCTTGTTTTTTAAATATTGCACGATTATGAACTCTGATACTTAAATCTTCATCGACCAAGTGACAAGTAGGACAGAAATTTACCTTACAGAATGCCTATACCTCTTCTCTTCTAAAGCCTTGAAATGGGCTACCCGACAAAGCAATTCACAAAGAAAGGCGTGCGAGTCCCTTACAGTTCTTGAGTTCTTGATCTCACACCAATGTTCCCTTTCTATTCTTTTTAAGATGTACACAAGTGGCCAGAACTCAAACTAAATGACTAAAACCAAAGACTCAATTTTTCATTAGCCTCACTTACTTTATCGCCTCCTTTATTCATGTCTGGGAGAAGGGGAGGGCAGGAAGCACTCATTCGTTTCCATTTTCCCTTCCTCCTATAAAGCTTTACTTTCATCTCTACGCTGGACGCACAAGCATTCAGAAGGCGCATTAAGAGGTACAGTATCTAACAGCAATGAACAGAGTCTTCACTGCTAACTGAAAACAAAGAGACCTTCTCCAATACAGAAAAACAGGGAAACTAGAAGTTATCTGCGTACACATGTGGAATGGGTCAAGGATTCAAAAGATACAATAATCATATTCTCAACTGTACCTTTAAGCAGCTGTTCTTCTCGTAATCTTTGCTCTTCTTCCTCCTTCTCTCTGTAGTAAGTAATGCGTCTCTCCTCTTTGCGTTGCTTCTTGCGCTCTTCCAAACGATTACGCCTCTCTTCTGCTAACCGCTCCTGGAACTGCTTGAGTTTATCCTGAAATACAAAGAATACACGTGAAACCACCAGAACTGTAATGTTTAAGAGCTAGACAGTTACACAAATTGCTAAACAAAGCTGCACGGAAACACAAACCAACTGCAACACAGTAACTTTCCTCCACTGAAAAACTATCTGTTTGCCATTTTAACCTTTTTCTACAATAAATTTCGTATAAGGGAATGTACTCCTACTTAGAAGGAAGACAATCAGCATGCACAATTTTAGTCCTTCATCTGCTGTTTCAGGAAAAGAATTGCCTGAATAATAACTTACCTTTACCTAAAATACATTACCTAAAATCACCTACACCATTGCAAAGGATCATACGCAGTTACTGAACTTATTTTAACGTCATACCTTTTTTTGCCTTTTTTTTTTTTTAAGCCAGTCCTTACTGCAACATAGCCAAATAATCAAAGCTACAAACAGCCTCAGCAAAGGTAGAATTTAAAAAATGTAGATCAAGAAAGAAAGGCACAGTTCTTTCCCTGCCCTCATGGTCTCATTTGTTATTAAATTTTGCACGCATAAAATATAACTTGAAGTTGCAAATACTTGGACTATCAAAATAATTTCTAGATTCAAACAAAAATATTTAGAAAGCAATAGACAAGTATTTATGTAAATTTCTGGGCTTCAATATTATTGTCAGTATTATTCCATTTCTACAGCAAGTCCAAGTACTTGTACAGATACAGCTGGCTGCTCATATGCTACTCCATGATCTCTTACTAGTAGCTGCATTGAAATAAATAATTTACGTTATCTTTTATTTTCCATATAAGCTATTCCAGAAGTTGTCAAAAATTGTGAGCGATAATATCTAGGAATGAGTGCAAGAATTTTTTTTTTTTGTCAAAGCATAAAATAAACAATTCCTTAATTCTGAGCCATTCTAGATACTAATTTGTTTCTAGTTTTCATGAAGAATCACTGGGTCACAAATGTAGTTCCTCACTTCAGGGGACTATTTTATCATAATACCATATCTTGTGTACCTCATAAACTGTTCGTCGTGATGCTTTGAGCCTGGCTTCAAATAAATCTCTATCCTCCAACATCCTCGAGAGTCTGTTCTTGTGCTCAAGGGCTTTCTCGCGCTCCAACTGCAAAGTGGTGATCTAAAAACAGATAATATAAAAAGTATTACAAAGTAAAATCTTACTATATATTTGCATTCAATCTACCTCAGCCACTAGCAAGCTAACACTTCATTCTTCACATTGACTTTTTCCCTTCTTCCCTTTGATTGAGCTGGGGGAAAAAGCCAATGCAAAACCCACTATTTTTCATTCATCACCAATGGATTTTATCATCTGAACAAAAAATTCTTACCCTTTCTTCCTCCTGTTGCTCCCACAGCTCCATGTCATGCACTCTTTGCTCCTCATATGCAGTCTTTATTAAAGGAATTTCTTCTAAGCGCTTCGCTCTTTCAAAATAGTCAATCTAAACAAAGACATCACACCTTTAGCACGTCATAATGCAAAGACCAAATCTGGATGACCCAATCTTCAGCATCCCCCAAAGAAAACCCCGATATCTGGAGACTTCTCCAATACATCTGGTATATTATTGTTACATAAGAACAACCACACTGGACCACATCGAAGGTCCACCTACCCAAGAACCTGCCTCTACCACTGGCAACTAGGTGCACTCCTAGGCATGAATGCAAGAACAGAGGCAGGCATACATACAACACTCTCTCAGCATCATCAGTTTTCAGGTCCCAGCATTTCCTGTGTCAAAGGGGTTTTTTTGTATTTAGTAGGCATCGGTAGATTTCTCCTCTTGTCCTTTTGAACTCGAAGAAGCTTTTCATATACAACAACGTACTTTGCAAAGAACTCCTCTGTGTCTATGGCTTACAGCACGAAGATCCACCTTCTACCTACAAACAGTTCTGAATATGTCTCCTACTAACTTCATTTGACGCTTCCTAGCTTGCTATCCCTTGCAGTCAGTGCAAGAACAGCTGCTCCCCATCGTCAGCCGTTACAACAGGTACGCTCTAATAGACTGCTACCACATCCTCTCTCCAGAAGTCTTTCAGATGGAAGGGTACTAATTTACATCGACATTTCTTACACAGAAGCCAATTCGCATCATTGAGAATCCTTGTTGGCCTCCTCTCAAACTTCCAGTTCAACCGCATCCTTTTTCGGATAAAGAGGCTAGAACTGCAGATAGTGCTCGAGACACAGAACCACCAACTTCTCATTGCTGACTAAGAACGTTAAGTTTGGGGCCCATCATTTAACGCGTAAAGATTGGGCGATATTTTTTTCCCGTTTTCCCCTACACAAGGTATTTTATATCCACATAAACTGAACTTCAAGAAAGACTAGTCCTTTTACCCCACAGCTGCTAAGTTTTCTTTGGAGAAGAACTTCGTAAAAAGCTTTTTGGAAAATTCAACTTAGTTACACCAACCAGACCACCCTTACTCATACATTTGTTTTGACAGCTTCAGAGAACTCCAAGAGGAAGCCCTGGCTTACAATTCTTTTATAGAAGCTGTGCTGACCTTTCTGTGTAGGTAGATCATATTTACCCAGCTGACTACTCGTTCTACTGTTTAATTTTCTGCTACTTTGCCCTGTAACAAGCATCAGGCTAACAAGCCTGCAGCACAAAAGATCCTCACTGGAACATTTTTAAGTAACTTGCCACTTTCTAGTATCAAGCAAGTTTTAAGTGAATTGAATCACCAACTGTATCATATAATCTCTGTTTCATTCTTCAATACTGTTGGAAGTCCTGGGTGAGTTTCACCTTCCCCAAATCACATATTTCTACTTACTATGATAACATGTTCCTCACACTTTTATAGTCATCCAAGTTTCAGGCAGACACTATTCTACCACCTAGAAGGGCTCTAGCAGTGCAATCTCCTCTGTTTCAGTGAGGACTAATACAACTAATTAAATTTAGCTTCTCTACAAAGGTCTCACCTTCTGTGACAATGTTCTCTGAACATTTTCCAATTATGAGTCTTCCCAACTAAGGCTCAGTTCACATACAGCTTAAGGGTCCATTTTCAAATCAACTCTAATAATTAGAACAGATTTGTGCACTGATACTAGAAACTCACTTGGTTTTTAACCCAGTTATCTTTTTTAGTTTCATACAGTAACATTTTCAACACCAATATTATATATGTATCTATGTATCAATACAGGAATTCACAGTCACTAACTAAAGCATTGTATAGACATGGTTTTGTACTCTTCCTACTCTGTACCTTTTTCTCCTGATTCTTCAGACGTTCCTGAAGTTCCTTCTTTTCTTTTTCAAGCTGTTCAACTTGTTTAGCCATAATGAAGTCAGGATCCAATTCTTCAAGGTCCTACAACCAAGTAAAGTTATCAATACAATGTAAAGCAAATATTTTTTGTTACAAATGTGGCTTGTTTATTTATTTAAGCTTCTCTGCTTTTCTCCCCTTGACTTTTAAACCAATTTGCTTCAGAACACTCTTTTCCTCTCTTCTGGGTAACTTGTATTTTATTTTTAAAAAGCTTGCTATGGAATTTTGGTCTTGATTTTTAATAAAGACAGTCCAGGTACTACAAAATTGGATCTGTGGGTCTACTTCATATTTCAGATACTGTTTAAGCAACAAGGGAGGGGGGGAGGAGGAAACCCAAACAGCTGTGCTTAATTCCTCCAGGTAAGAAAGGTCCTACCTAAACTCAGAGTTAAGGTTTACTTATGCTGTTGAGCAAACTAAATACTTCAGTGTCAAACTGTCTCATTTTTAAGAGATGCTGTTTGTAAGACCAGTTACAGTATAAAACTAGCAAAGAACATGAAATTCAGACAGCCTAGCAATGTAACACCAAAAACGTACAAAACCCCTCAAAACCTCACTAATAAGTTGTCTACCTCAATATCAATATCTTTAAATGCTTTTGCTCCCAGTTCAGTCTTCTTAATCTGCTCCAAGCGCTCACGAACGGTCTTCTTTTTGATTTGTTCATGCTCTTGCAGGATACGCTCCTTCTCTCTTTCCTTTGCCTCCTGGCGTAGTCTCTCTTCTTCAGCTTTCCGGACTTTCTGTAATTCTGCTTCGCGTTGTTCCAGTTCTTCTTTTTCACGCTGAATGTTTAAACTTTCAAGGCGCTCCTTTCTTTCCTCTATAGTTTGACGACGTGCAAGAATACGCTGATGCTCCTTCCTTGAATTTTTTAGGAAGGCAGTGACTGCCAGCTGATGTTGTTCTTCCTTCTCTTGCTGAAATTAAATTAAGAATAAGACAATGATGTGAGCAGCACCTCTTTAAAAAGGCAGAAAGCACAGCAAATACTTCTGAAAGAAAACTCCCGGTTAGTTTTATTCTCCAAGCTTGCCAACTGCATGGAAATGTAACTGTAATGGCAAACCTGATCACTCATCCAAGTGGCATAACAAGGTAGTATCAACTGACTAGAACCACATGCAAATAGAGAAAGCTGTCTGTATCGGACAATATTCTGCAACACATCTTAGGTATGGTGTTTTCTCACTTGTTGCTGTTCAAAAATATTGCACATCTGTATGTTAGTGATATTTAAGACTCTAACTGAAAGGGGGTGGGGAGGTCAATCTTGTTTATCTCTACATGTGTTAGCAAGTATAGGACCACACGTACTGTATTTCACCAAAGCTCCCTTGTTTTTAAAGTTTTTATGTTTCACAAACACATTAACATAAAAGAAAAATATCCCAATTGACAGAAAGCACTATCTGTGAGATGATAAAAACTGATGATCGTTTCTCAACAATTTATGTATAAATATTGTATAGAAAACCATTTTAATTAAACAACAAAAAGCACTAGACTTCGACACCTGCACAGATTCTTCTCCGCGATTCTTTAAGCATCTTTCTAACCACCCCACCACTCTCCTCCAGAGCACCTACACAGCTCTTTGTAGAGATTCATGCTGCACACATGAAGAGGTGTAGTTGTGCCAGCTCAGGGAGCTGCCCGTTTTAGTCACTCCCCCAAGCAGCAAAACACTGCAGCCCAGTCAGCTCACTACACTCCTCGGTCACGCTGCTCTTGAAATGTGAACTAGCTCAGAGGTATTTTTAGCAATCTGTCACTTCTAGCACATTCAACAAAAACACTGAAACATCCATACTTTGTTGCTGACCTGCAAGCACTTAAAGTTAAATGGAGATGCCAGAAACACAAAAAGGAAAAGCTTTAGACGAATTCAACAATTTTGTGAATTATAACAAATCCAACAGAAATTAAAAGTTTTTCAGCACTTGACAAAAGTGAAAAGTTTTATCTGAATAGCAAAGGAAAAAAGGGTATCAACATGTTCTATAGCTTCTCCAACCACACAGACCAAAAATAACCTTGATACAGTACCAAATTTTACAAGCGTAATTACTAGCATTTACGTCTTACTCAGCTAATTGTACTAACACGTCAAGCATAAGAGTATTTGTCATTTCTATCTATGAATGTACAAATAAAGCATGTTTTTTTCTTTCAAACCAACAATCCACCTGTCTAATATCAATCCATAATAAAACCTTTTTCGGGGAAAACCTACACAGTAATATTTTCATCTTCAACCTACAGAACAGCTAATGAATGTCCAAGCTAACATAAGTAACCTAGCATTAGTGGATCGTGATACAGTCCTACTTCATGTGTTTATATTTTAAGAGCATTACTTAATATTTCAACATGGATAAACAATGTAACACAGACATCTTGCTATCAGCCTTTTTTCCATATGGAAAAATTATTTTATATGTTCGCTACAGAATCTTTCTTACATAAACATAAAGCAAAAATTTCCACTGCTCTTTTAAGAGAAGTGAAGGTTTAACTTGCTACAACCAAAGCATGCTGGAAATCTGAGTGTCTTTTACACCTTGCTCCAAAGGGCTCTGGAGAACCTGAAATGTGAGCTCATTGGTGAGTCCGACCTTGAAGCCAACAGCCCCAGTGAGGAGGACAGGGAGTGAGAAGGACAGGTCAGTTCTTGAGCTGTGCCATCTTTTGTTCATGTGTTTGGATTCCACTATGAAGTTACATTCCAGGTTCTTCACAACAGCAGTTTCTCCAGGAAGACTAAAGAAAGCAGGCTCTTGGATTTTCAAAAATGCATGCAAAATTTTAAAGAAATCCTAGCTCTCTAGGCCCATCTACAGGCAAGTTATTATTTGGTATATCCTAAACCTGATAAATGCAAGACTGGCAGTTTTACCTCAGGCCTCTCGTGTACATTTTGACATGATTTTAGTTATGACCAAACACTAACTAGTTGGATGCACTAAGAATGATTTATTCTTCTTCACAAGCACAAACAGCTGACTACCACCAGCCTGAAAAAAAAAAATGAAAAGGTACATCTAATCTGAGAAAACACATTCATTAAAATTAAGCTTTAGTATAAAGTGTTGAGTTATTAGCTTACATTTCTACTTAATCCACAAGTATATAAATGCAGCCTATCATTACTCTCAAATTATATCAGAGGTCGTTACCACAATATTCTGAAAAACAGAGCAACACATTTCTGAAAATACACAAACGCACACAAGCACCAATATCAAATCCTTGCAATCTCATGTTAAATTTATCATTAGATAGCTCATTGCCTTTCCTACGTCAAAGAAAGGCGTAATAATCAAGTATGACCTCACAACTTCAAAATAAGCTTGTCTTGCTAAACCAGAAAATTTAGATCTATTAGAACAGGTGAGTATGTAACAGACGCAGAAGGCTACTTCGTCATTCATAAGTACAGTAACGCTGCACTACATCTGTATACATGAACACCTCAAGGATCAGTTCTCTGTTCTGAAGGGAGGGGGCAGCAGTAACAATACTGATTATCAAGGCACTGAAAACAAATTACTGGAACAAGTCGTTGATCAGACAAGCAAAAACCACCAAAAGGCTGCATAAGAGCAACAGATAAGCATCACACAACGCACTTTGGGGAATGTCAGAATTTGTCAACATTTTCAGAAGACTTGAAATGACTCACCAGTAAGTGAGGAGGCTTAATGACTGCAAGAGCCTTAGCCAGAGCGGAGGACATAGCAGTCAGTTGATTTCTTATTTGCTCAGAAGGCATGCTTTGTAGTTGAGGGCCTAGTGGAGCATCTTCTCTAGTACTGTAATTCAAATCTGAGCCAAAACTCAGTGTTCGTGTAGTATGATCAAGTCGAACCTTTGCAAGAAAAAAAAACAACCAAACAAGGTTTGTATTATTCATTACTTTTGAATAATTTCTCTGTTGCGCTGCCTACGACCAATGAGTCAACAGAAGCTCTAAGCAGAAATTACTTTCTAAAAAAAGTTATAGCTATACCAGACTATAAGAAATGCTGAATTAGTAGAATAAAAATCGCACTGTGAATAAAACTTTAATTTCCATGGCTTATTAAAAAAAAAAAAAAAAAAAATCACAGGAGGAGGTTGAACTTTCAATGGTTCTATGAAATGAGTACTGCAAGACAAATAATTCTTGCCTCTTCCTCCGCATTAGTAATACGCGAAACAAGAATCTTGACTTTAATGCAGACAATTTCAACACATCTAAAATATAAGCTAAAGTTGTGTATTAATCTAAACACATTACAAACCTTTATCTAAAAACCTAAATGGATAATTACTGAGCAACCTCAACTAAAAACTACTTGCATCGCATCACCAGCTTTAATATTTCATTACAGGCTGTCATTTATTCTATACAGATAATTTTACCAACAACGCAATCTTCAAGAGCAGCTGAAACATCTCAGACATCGGTGTGCATCTCATACATTGGCGCCCATCTCAGACATTGGCATTTTACTTCAGTCACTTGGTTTGACAAAACCCAACATCAGCGACTGCTAGCTCTTCAGCCTTGCACAACTAATTCAGCATACTCAGAATTTTTTTGTTTGTTAGACTTGCTTCAGGATATTCTGGACTAAATGACTGGGGCTCACAGGGCAAGTTTCAGTGAACTTTATTTCAAATTTTGCTTCTACTGGACTTGCATTAATGGTTGTTGACCTAAATCAAAAATACACACCAGAATGCAAATAACCATCAGTTCTTAATAGATTGTCACATGCATCATTTACTCTAGTTTATCTATCAGAAACATCTTCCTCGTGTTCAATGTACACCAGTTAGTTTTCATGGAGTGTAATACACACGAATCCATACCTCACTTCACAGAAGTCCTTTTACAGCACTTACTTGTAAGTCACAATGTCTGGCTGCATCGACGATATTACGTTCCAGCTGGAAAGCATCAACAAAAGGAACCAGGGTAGCCAGACGAGAAAATTCAATGCTTTGATAAATCTGGGCCACCTGTATGTGAACAGAAACATTACTTATTTTCTCTCATTAAAAGAGATCAGAAATAAAAGTTGTTGTACGGGCTCTAAAGCTAACTTTGTAAATCATCAATAAATAAATGTATACATATGAATACAATTACAAATGCTCTTTCAGGATTTTATTTCTGTCCTGTATTCAAACTTAACCTAAGATTAAATGAATGGCTTCTTTGTATGAAGGAGACTGGCAGCAGTAACTACGTACAGCTATGCTGCTAATTAGCCTTCAACTATTTCTTTAGCACATCAGAAATAACACTGCTCATCACTTGTAACGAAAGCAGGTCAATGAAATGTGCCTTTTATGAAACACCTAAACACAAAAAAAACCCAAAACATCCCACCCAAACCTTACTCCAAAAAAAGTTTAATTACCTTAAACAAGACACCACAGATTCGTAATGAAGAAAATCTAGGCAAGAGATTATGCTGCTGTACGCAGCCACTATTAAGTATAGCTACTATGGCTGTACCTAAACAATACATAAACCTGAAGATAAATGTTATCTGCTGGAAAAACGTATTGCAAAATCATAATGGTCTTCTATTTGATGGAAAAAAACCCACCTCAGCATGGAAGCTTCCAACTTTACGTTCTTCCAAAGCATTATCTAACTTGTGTATACTTATGAATATACATTTTCTTTATTCATACCTGCTGCAGAAGGCGAAGAATGGTATTGTTTTGCAGGTGAGGAACATACAGCTGCAGTTCAGGTTCTTTTTCAGCTTGGTCTTTCACCCAATTCAGAACCTATCAGAAATCTGAAAAGTTACTCCATCTGCACCAGCCCTTAAAAACTTCAACAGTGAAGTACAAAGCATGGTTCTTAAATACCTCTGTTTTACAGCTCATGAAACAACAGCACTTCCGCCCAGATACTACACTGTTTTACTGACGTGTATCTTTTGATAATTTATTTATAATGGATAGTGTAACATTTTTTGTATGAAGGCGACTGACAGTACTGGCAACATTTACCACACTGCTAATTTACCTTCAAGTTCTTTTTAGCACCTCAAGTATCTTTGTTCCCACTATCAAAGAAAAAGAAGATGATGTGCTTCATCAATCACAGAATTTACATAACCTAATCAACAGCTCTCACATTATTTTATCTCCCAATACTTTATATTTTAATAGCAAAAAGTCATTGGCATATTTTTCCACTTCCCACACAACCCACTTGCATGCACATGCACGTGTGCACACAGTTTTCTTATTTCTGCATCTTGAAACAGAATTTAACTCAGTATCATCTCCACCAGCAAGACCTTCTGATACGTTCCCAAAACTCTGCACCTTTACAGGGGCCCTCTGAATAGCACCCTAGAGACCTGAAGGAATTTTCATTCTATTTCAATTATCCGGTGCACTAGGTATATCAGATGTTACATACATGCCATTTTAATGGAGTTTGACCAACTAAAGCCTACCATTGAAAATCCTGGCAATAGAAGAAGCTAGCTGGTATTTACCACAAACCAATATTCAAATGACTCACTACTAGTCAAGGCCAATTACTACATACACAGAGCTACAAAACTTACCTTGCTGACACGGCTACATAACTTCAGCGGGTGAAAGTCTACTTCAAGCCAATTGTAAAGTTCTTTCACTTCTGGAACAACATACTGCACTACGTTGAACCTTACCTACAGTCAACAAAAAACCCCAAATATCTCAAAATAAATATAATATTAATAAATAGTTATGCTTTAAGAATTTCATATTCAAGAAGTTAAATAGGCACCACATGTCCCTTTTAATACAGGAGGCTACTTATTACAGCGTTCTTAACTGCTGTGACAATAACTCTATGCTACACCACTTCACTGTATTTAGAAATGGAAAGGTAGACAAAAAAACATACAAACAAGATAAATATTTAGACTGCAGTACCATCCTCAACTTATGAGCCATTTCTAAGACACAAGTCCTACTGCACAACGTAGGCCCACACCCAAACTAAGACCACACATCTCCGTTCATAAGTAAACTTCTGCAGCTTTAAATTCTGGGTTTAAGGCAAACAGCAGAGGTACTAGAAGAAGAATTAACACAAATTGTAAGACAAAAATTGAATGTAAGTTTTAGGCACACAGCAAATGACCGCAAGAAGTTCAAACATCCTCTGAAAATACGTAACTGTGATTGAATGCCTAATTTGTTTATGAATACCTGGCAAGGTCTGAAGATAGATAAATGTAGCCTCCCTTCAAACTAAACACAAGGAAGTTTTCATAATCATTCAGGTCCTCACAGTCCTGTGCTTATCCAAAATACATTTAAAACAGAAAAATAAACACTTGGTTCAGTTAACCACACACTTTAGAGTAGGGGAAAAACCCCAAAGTTCTAGCTCACAAGCCTTTTCAAGATCCCTGAAGAGTTTCAAAATGGCATCTGTTGCTTAGGTGACAAAGAACAATACTGAGTCTGACTCTTTAGTGCACACTAGCACTCGAGCCTCCCATTATGGCTGCTGTTTCCTAACAGTCCTTCTTGCAAATCTGAAATTTTAACGCTTTACTGTAAGTTATACAATTAACCATATAGCTGGTTTAACTTATAAACTGCTGTCCCATAACTATAATTGGTTTGGGTCCAAATTCTTTTCAGTGGTGCCCAGCGACAGGACAAGAGGTAAAGGGCACAAACTGAAGCAGAGGAAGTTCCAGCTGAACATGAGGAAGAACTTCTTCACTCTGAGGGTGACGGAGCACTGGCACAGGCTGCCCAGGGAGGTTGTGGAGTCTCCTTCTCTGGAGATATTCCAGACCCGCCTGGACAAGGTCCTTTGCGGCCTGCTGTAGGTGACCCTGCTTTGGCGGGAGGGTTGGACTGGATGACCGACAGGTCCCTTCCAACCCCTAACATTCTGTGATTCTGTGAACTAAGCATAGTGCTCTAGAAGAAACAGTCCAAAAAGAGGACTCGGTGATTAAAAGCTGATCATCTGAATGCCAGTACGTACCATATCATTAATGAGACTGCCACGTGTAGGTGGGGCCTGAAGACCCAGCAGGGTTGCCAGACGTCGCTGCTTCTCAACAATGATGCCATCCATGTCCAGAAGGCGAGCAATGTCAGTTCTCTCGGGAGTTATAGGAATTGACAGAGTGGCCAAAAGGACTCGGGTAGACATCCTGTTGACAAAGTATAACCGCAAAAGATGAACTGCAAGAGCACACTAATTAATTCTTTTTCATTTACGTGCCAATTCAAAAGTAGGAACGAGTTGCATTCATGATGCAAAACTGTGTAGGAATACCAGAAATTACAGAAAAAACGCCAACTACACAATAAGAGCACAGAATGCATTTTTCTTCAGTAACCAGGGGAAAGATTTTGATAACGTCTTTTCATTACTTACGTATGTGTGTATATACAGAAATGATAAAGAAATTTAAGCCACCTCTGAAAATATCAAAATACTATAAAATAACGGAAACAGCAGAAAGCAGCACCTTTAAAAACTTTTTAGCTGCAAATCCATACCAGTCATTTTGATTGCACTGAGTTTTGAAATTTACTGTGGAAGCCAGACGTACCTTTTGATGTAACAATACAAATGACATTAAACATTTAAATTCAGACCTTAGTATCCAGATGAGAAGGAATATAAGAATTTCCACAGAGTATTTATTGCTACCAGATTCTGATTCTGTAAAGGCCTGAACATGAACTTCAGAGGTTAATGCAGTCAACGACTCTGTATGCCTCAAAAGCCTTGCCAGTAATCATACTTGTTACCAAAAAATTAAAGGCCATTTGACTATACAGACTTTTATATATTAAGGAAAAGTCTATACTAATTATAAAGAAATCATGTGAAGTAAATATCGTCACTCAGAAGAGAAAAAGACAGCAAACACAGATGCTTATTAACTTGCTTAGCTTCCCAGTCAGTAACAGAGAAGGAAGCGTAACTAAGGTGATCCTGATGTTTACATCATTTATACTGCAGCTTTTTAGAATACCCTTCCTGCTCTAGGTTTCTTTTGAGGCAATCAGTACCGGCCACTTTCAGCAGAGCTTCCCATAGCCATACATATCATCTGCTTCATTTAGGGTACAATTCAGCTTATTTTTGAACGTACGGGGTTAAAAACAGAATCTAAGATCACATTAAATATCTTTCCCCACCTCTGCATCTCCTCTTGCGTGAGATTCTTTCGCATTTCTCTTGATAGGTGATAAAGTCGGTGAAGTGTGGATGCATGAAAAAGAGCATTTCCTGATTTCCAAAAGACAGTTGAAACTTTGTGATAGTAATTTGCCATCAGTTGTGGTTTGGGTGGCTTCTTAGACAGTGCAAATAGCCCATGAATATCCTCCACTGCTTTGAAAGCTTCCTAAAAAATCCAAATACACTACTTTTAGGAAGTTTTTTGCAACACCCAAAAAAGGGGAAAAATATACATTTCCTACAGGTTGTAAGACTTAATTTAATACCACTGAAAGCTGTGATCTTCAGTTTTGCCAGCTATGTGAAATGAAATACTTCACTCCTGAGAAAGACATGATTTGTACATACAGCAAATCCATTAACTACCTGCTTTTGGTAGTTAACGATCAGGTTATGTAATTTTTTGAAAACTGGTTTCTTTCAGATTTTCAAGCTACAAACCATGGTGGGGGGGGAACAGAGTAACAAATATCCTACAATTTTACTATTATACCAATTCTACTATTTACTGGTTTTACCATTTTTCGTAAAAATAATCTAGATGATTAGAAATGGGTATAGTTTCCCTAAAAATACATGTAATATTGGAAATGCCTTACATGTAATTACTTACGTACCTAAAATGAAAACAACACAACAGAGAACATTCTGCCAATGCTACTCTGGAAAACCAAAAAAGACAACCCTGGCTTTTTAAGGAATTTGACATTAGAAAGGTTGGAAAAGCAAAGCACCTCTTTGACAAATCTGCTTCGATAGTGCCCTCACTGGCTAGACACTGACATAATCCAAGCAGCGACGTCGGCAGCTCAGCCCAATAGCAGCCTTCAACATCTACCAACCACTTCCCAGGGATCCAGCTCATGAGAACGCAGGATGGCAGAGGTGAAGGTGTCATCATCAACTGCTCATTTTCACAACTCGAAACGACTTCAGTCACTTTAACTAGTAGCAGCAGAAGTTGGTTTGAAATGCTATGTGAAAACAGCAATCCCAGGAACATCAGACTAAGTAGTCAACGTGCGTGTAGCACCGCATTGTAGATATTAAACTTTATTCTTTAGCTATTATCCTGTCTTTACCTTGGAGTAGATACCATGAAACACGATCTGCATGGAACAGATTCTGGCAAGACATTAGACTACAGCGTGATTACAGAAGCCCTGCTGTGTACCTGCCACAGCTCCATGCTAATAGCACTGTCCAGCTGCACAAGCCTGGTCTCCAGGTGCATTGACTGACTCTCGGGATTGTTGAGGTTGATTGCTGTGCTTTGGTTATGATGACGCTGGATCTGCCCCAAATGCATTCGCAGGTTATCACAGAGTTTACGGAACTCAGCTTTACGTGTGTACTGCAGGCAGAACTTAAAAGCTGCAAAAATGAACAACGTAAATTAAAAATGCGCACTAATGGTGACTTCACAGTAGTTCTAAATAGGATTCAAATATGTAAATCAGTACACTTAAAGAATCGTCATTTACAGTCCAAAGACATATCAAACAAGAGGCAATCTAACTGTCATGCATAATGAATAAGTGACAATGCAGAGCACTTCCATCTTGACCTCAAAAAATTAAGACGCTTCTACATAATTAAGCTTGAGGAGCAAATGGGGTAGGTACTTTGACTCTGTTTAAAAATGTTCTAATTTAAGCAGTGATTCTAGCTTTTATTTTGAACTAAGCACAAATAATTCTGTGGATGGCATGAATTCAGGTTTTGGCTTTGTAAAATGGGGGAAGCAATTCTGAAGTCATCTAAATATGGTAAAGCTAAATGAAGCTTTCACATGACTAGAAATGACACAGAAAAAAAGTTGTCTTTCATCGCGTAGTTTCTCTCAAAAATCTGTTTTTGCTTTGCCACTGTCATTCTGAAAATTCTGAATTATCTCTACCAGAAACAAGCAAAAAAGCAAGTCACGACACTGTAACACAAAGACTTTGGTACACTAAAGCACCTAAAACTTGACAGTCATCTCTCCTAATGTACTTGCACAATTTGGATCCAGAGTTAAAAATCTAACAGACTCTTTTTTTAAAAAATACAGAGCCCTAAGTTATACATACAAAGGAAAACATTTTTATGCCCATCTTCAACCCTCAAAAAAAGATTAATATGTAAATATTCATTCTTATAAATTCAATTTTGCCAGTAGGAATCACACTAGATGTTTTCCTATTACCTTCCACATAATATTTTGCTAAGTTACATCTGTGTCAAAATTGATAGCCATCAGAATTTTACAGTACCCTTTTGTGTACACTAGTTTTTGAAGTCAGCCAACTCAAAATACGTTAACGGAAGATGTATTTGCCATTCTGATTAACAAAGTGAAAACACAACTAATTTAGATCAGTAAGTTAGAAAACATAGACACACAGCATCAGTAATTCTCATATTCTCAGTATGTCCAGGAAAAAAAAAAACTTTTTCCTTGCAGGTTCTATTACAAGAAAAGATCAGTGTTCAGAAACCTCAGTAATTTTAAGGAACCTCTGCAATTTTAAGACTAGTACACATGCACATACATAGGCCTAAGAGATTAACGTATTTCCAACTCTGAAGCAATATCGACGTAGAAATAACCTTTAATTTTCTAGTTTTACAGGATGCAATAGAGAAGTTCTAGATCTTATTACACTTTTCAACTTACCTTGCTGTGCAATATCATGGTACAGGCGTTCCACTCGAGAATTATTTCGGAGAAGATCCAAACACTGTCTATACGATTCCCACAGAAATTTAACCCAGGGTGTCAAAAGCAGTCGGTCAGTACGATCCTGAGTGTCTTCTCCACTTACAGCACTCAAAAGAACACTACAGTCGGGGACGGGGAAGGAGGGTAAGGAAAAAGTGTTTTATTCCCCACAATTCTCACCAATTTTTCTTATCAAGATCTAAGATGACACTGGATGAATCTAACAGCTAATTGCTGCTGAACAGTCTATTGCTTATTTTCAAATTGGTCCCTCAGACTCTTTTCCTTTAAAGGATGTAGATAACTTTTCTTGCTGTTCAGTTTCAAACTTCGGCCCCTCCATACATGACTGACGTGTACAAGCTCCAGAGGTAAGAGACATCACTCTCCCTCTTCTATCAGGGAGCTGCACAGTCCACATCTGTTGGTTTCAAATATCTAGAACTTGCCTCTTTCTTTTATTCCAGAATCAACATTCTTACAAAAATCAGTATCAAAGTATTGCTTTGATTTTCAGACCACACCTAAGATGGCTAATCTCAACTCACCTCCTCAGAATTTTACCACCATTTTTCCTAAAAATCTCCACTTACGGCTGAAGGTCCTTTTGTTATTTCTTTAGATATCTTCTGCAAGTTTTGACTTACGGAATTACAATTTGGTTTGACTGGTAGAAACTTTATTTTATTCCTTTTTTTCCCTACACTTTCTGATTTTTTTAAGGGATATGGGCAGATGGCCTCTTCCAAACTCAGCTGGAGTGGTTTAAAACATTTCTTCACCCTTAGCTTGTCACCCGTCTTCCACAGATGTCACCACATCTGTACTATCAGAGTTAATGTGAGCACTCCCTAAATCAATGGATTCTTCTGAAGAACATAGTTATGCAGTTGGAGCTAACCTCACTTTCCCGAAGCGGATCAGGAGGTTCTCCCACAAAACGTTCTGACAACAAAACAGGGACTTCTCGCAGAGCTGGAGAGTGGTTTCATCCTAACCTGGCACTACTTGTTTAGGCAAGGTCTAAGTGAAGGTCTATACACAACCCAAAGCAGATATATTTTCTGAACCTTTTTTCCATTCCTTATACGTTCTCATTATCCAATTAATTATAACACTCTCAATTCATTTTTATGCACTTTCTTCTATTATCGTATCAGTTACCCAGCAAGTAAAAAATAACATTACCTTTTGTTTGTATGTGGTCAGAAAGACTGGAAGTTATCACATACAGGAATTAAATTTGCCTTATGAAATTAACAGTATTTGTACATCAACTTATAATGCCCAGCTTTCAATAATAAACTCTCCAATACCACTACAGATGCAGATCCAAGCAGACCTTAGAAAGCAGTGACCCAACTCCCAGAATCGCTTCTACTGTATCTACGTTTTCTGTTCTTTACTACTTCCCTACTTTACTCTTCTTTACTTGGACTTAGGATTTTGTTCAGTGCAAAATTCCTTTTTTTTTGGCCTACCTTTAGAACCTCTACACCACCACTAGTATTCCATTTCAAATCCACCATCTTTAGTTCTCTAAATTGCCAATATTCTTCATGAAAACAAGGATACTTTGCAATTTTAAAGACAGGCTGCCCACCTTTCTGGAGTCTGAATGTTATCTAAGTCTTCTATGTCCAATACCATCTGCTGGGATTCTTCCTTAGCTGCTTCTGTTTTTTCTTCAGCTAATTTTAAATAGGCTCGAACAACATCTTCCAAAGATTTGATGTTCACCTACATTAAAGGCAGAAAATGGGAAGATGCTTCCACTCATAACAGGTGGCAAATACTTAAAGCATTCATGCTACACAACTAGAACATCTAAAAAGGCACATTCATTCTAACTCAAGATCAATCAGTTACTTTTAGATCGTATCAGCTGACATACCATGCTTGCTACAAATAAAAAAAAAAATAATAATTCAAAAGTCATACCTGCTGGCAAATGTTCTTGTACTGGTAGAGTCCTTCTTTTGCCAGATGACTCTTGCGGAGATCCACACAGAGTTCCAGGTACTTCAGCATAATTGGCTCGTGGATTTTCTGCCATGTTCGGTGTTTTTTACTTTTCATAACATCATAGAGAACATCAAGGGCAGGCTGCTTTTTGCCAACCTCAAGGAATTCTGAAAGTAAAATCCAATTAGTCAAAGACTTGCAACCAGAAGACACATGTTTTTATGCTTAACACTGTAAACTTTTAGAATTTAATCAACTCTAACCAACATCCATTGATGGTTTGATTTAGCTGGCCATATCAAAAATGCTGGCAGATGCAATTGTAGTGACAGTCTTTCAATGACACAACTGGAAAATTAATGCAGACCTCTCCATTAACATGAAAATTTCAGGATGGCAGAGATGTCTCTCCCTCCATCAAAGCATGACTGGGTACTTCACAAATATTAATAATACACACACATCGAGTTTTAAAGATAGTTTCATCAAGAAGGACAACAAATACACAACACGAGGCTTGTAGTACAGCGCCTACCAATGTCATTCAACAAGATGCAAACCATCCAGCGAATCTGACTTTTAAAAAAAGTCCTGCCCTCAAGCCAAGAAACAAAGACAGAAATTTCATTCAGAAAAGTTGTTTGGATTTTTTTTTTTAATTCAGAGTAGTCTAGAGATTCAGTTATACTAAAAGCTGCTACACTCCAACTGAAAGGTCAGACATTTTTTGAACCAGCCTTGCTGCTGAAACCAGTGCCACATTTATTCACTCCTTAAGTAGCTACTGCTACTAACAGGATCTCCCAGCATCACAGCAACTCCCACCTATGATATAGCACATGTTCACTCAGTATAAAATACAGCAAACCCTTCACGAGCAAATACCACCGCAGCACAGCCAGCTACCAGCATCCACACAGGCCCTACACTAAACGCACTCTTAACTGCAGAAAAGCAAGCCAAAAGAACATTGAGAATAGGGAGTAAATAGGTTTAAAAGATAAAGAGAAGTAGAGTACAGACAAAAGGAAATGTGTGTATTCCTAAAGGTGAGGGGTGGAGTCAGTACTTTCCATGAAGGACTTTGGAAATCACTACATTCCTAAATAAAGGCAGAAAGGATTAAAGCAGCGGGCTACCTCAAGATGCGCAGACATTAGACAGAGCTTCTAAGTTTTAGAATCTTAGAATCTAAGTTAAATATGACTAAACCATGTATTTAGAAAGCAGCAGGACTTTAATTTAAGGACCATCATAGCATGTATTTAGGGCTTAGTTTATGTAAATAATCAGCTTGTGTAAGAGCAACAAGTTACTTGACAGAAAAAACATACTGTTACACTTTAAGATCATTAATGTTACAATGTGACAGTATTCAGCAGTATTTTTTTTTAGTCACAGAGGGAATTTTAATAAAACTATCCTTCGTCCCATAATTTACACTGTTATTTCAGTGCTGCTTTTGAGGCAATTACTGCTCAGCTTTACAATTTTTTATTTATGAAAATAAACGTGCAAGGCAAGTTTAATCTTGCAACAATGCCAGGCCATTTCAACCACAACTCTCAGTGGTCAATAACCAACTGGACAAAGCAAAAAATTAATTCAGATTGTTCTGAAACTTTTAATTAACTCTGGTTAAGCAAGTTCTTACCAGCAAGTCAAATAATTAAGGCTAATTTAACAGACACTGTAGTAAAAGCACACACAAAGTGAACCCGAAGAGTCAAATACAGCACACACCACCACGCCTTGCAGTAGAAACTGTAAGTTACGGAAACAAAGATTTGTAAAAGACAAAATCTAAAGCCTTAGCCCCTGAATAGCTGTCAGAACTACATTTTTTTCTATTCTTTTCTGTTATACCACTTAATCTGCCAAAAGGTATTCAAAACAGCAACTGAAGCTCAGAGAGGACACGAACTGGCTGGTACACATTGACAACTCATCTACTGCTAACCCAAACTCCTGCACTAAGCTAGGTTTTCGATCTGAGAAAACGTACGTCATTACGGAAGGTGACAAAGCTGTCATGCTATCTTCCCTACCTGTAACAGAGAGCAAATTCAGTATCTGCAACAACAAAATGCTCCCAAAAGTTACATACATCCTTGACTACAAAGCAATGTCGCTTATTAACAATAGCTAAGGGTTGGCTTTGACCTACATTTACCATTTGTAAGGAAAACCAGCCTTTTTTACATATCTGTACATATCTACAATCATTCAAGCTCTTCTTATTACCAAACATCATCTATGTATGTTGACGTCACTTGAGCACCTGAAGCATAAAGTCCTCTTAAATGCTCACGTAAGCCTTACATATAAAACGCAAACACCAACACTCTGGAAACTGCACTGAATGTCCCAATTTGAAACGTCAGCTTAATATTAAACCACTTCCTGGGATGTACAAGGCATACCTGCCTTGGGTACGTCTTCTCACCCTCCACTGTACTTGGACACATCGAGACTGAGCCCCTGCAGTCTGCAAGACTTGACACTGCTTGTCATGGTTCTATTCAGTCATCCGAGATCGAGGATTAGTAGCATTTGTCTAGCGAATGCTCCCTTCACATCAACTCTACGCCTTCAGTTCACTAGAACTGAGTAGAGCTGCAGCAGTGCAAGAGACGTGAATTTAAAGCTGCTCTGCAATACCAGAAAAGCCATGATAAAATGTCAGATTTAAACAGTCAATATTGCAGCAATGCAACTTGCTCATCAAGTAAGTACAACTTCCTCTACCCAAGAATTCTGAAGTTTAATTAAAGTTTATATACTATGGTTAGGCACCTTTTCCAGTAAAAGGACTGCTAAAATACAACTCCATCTTTGGAATTTGACTGAAGCTGATTTTATCTTTCATCTTTGTATCTTTGTCTTTGATCTTTGTGGGAACGACTTTCACAATGAATTTTAGATTAGAAATCTTGAGGATGTGCAGTACTTAATTAAACATATTCTTGTTAAACTACTTTAATCGTGTATAGCCCCCAGACTACGCAGCTTCTTCAGCTGTCATTTCAAGACCTGTACATCATCTGTAATTTTTGGATGTCTTTAAGTGTCATCCGGCAATCAGCCGTGACAATGAAGATCTAAATGGTCTTGCTAAGTGCTTAAAATACGGTACTGTAAAAAAAGCAGTGCCAAAGCCATATATTTAGCCTGAAAGCAGACAGCTGACACATATAACCAGTCCGGCTTTATACAAGGCAGTCAGCAGGAGACAGCTACAGTGCAGTGCTCCTTGGCTTCTTTGCCGGGGGCAAACTTACGCATCAGCCTGTGCGACATCTCAGAAGTTTAATCATTTGCATTCTGACCAGAGTCACGCCAAGGACGGGACTACTGAATACGCAGCCCACACTGAAAAACAGGGCCCGACATCAGGCCGGTTTTGGGTGCGAGATCGGGGCCCGGACACCTCAGGCCGAGCCCCCGGCCAGCGGGGAGACCCTTCCCGGCGACGGCCGGGCCGGAGGG